TCATCAAATAAACATTTTTCTTTTTCCAGATTGACCTTCAAGTTGTTTTGTATATATGTTTTTACTGGTGTCCAATTAGCATCAACGGAGATTGAAGGAGACCATATATATATATATATACGAGCGAAGACATCCCTGTATATGTCTAATATCATTGATTGTAATAATATTCCTTTACCACTTCCTGAAGGGCCTGTTATTATTTGACTAAAAGGCAGTCGCGGAGCAACTTCATATTTAGATTGTTTGAAATCGTATTCTTTAACATTTGTAGGTTTAACAATAGGCATATTTGACATTATTAATAAAGTAGAAAAATTATATCGTTAAATATAAATATATATATATATGGATTACGACGAAACAATAAAAGTAATAGATGAGCTAGAAAAATTAGATGAATTAGATGAAATAATAAAGACTCCACGATATAGAATGTGTTGCCATAGCCTACTTGAGCTTAGTAAAGCAGTTATTTTATACTTAAAAAATATTAAAAACCTAAAACAAATTAATGAATGAAAAATCAGAAGGTGGTATAAAAGTTGATAAGGATGACATTAGTTGCTTTACTTGTAAATGTAGAAGAAATATATTTAATAAGAAGAAGAAAGTAATAAAAGACGATGACGGCAAAACAATAATAGAGGAAGATATTGAAACATATTCAACAGGGTTCGGGAAACAAATAACACCAATAGTTCAACCAAGGAGTAAAACAATTGAAGGACGCATCGAAGAATTAGAAATGAAAATAGAGCGGTGAGAAGTAAATCAATAAATGATATTGATACTGGTTTTAGGCGTGCCATATCGATGGACGATAGATTAATAAAACTAGAGACAGAAGTAGAGGAATTGAAGAAAAAACATATTATGAATAGTTTAGATTAATATTTAAATAAGAGTTTGTATAAGATATTGACAGTCAAAGTCCCTTGTTGGGATTTTCTTTTTGCTTTCTGTAAGACGCCCATTCTACTGGAAATTGTAAGGAAGGCATGAAGACATGAATGAGAATCCCCATTTTCGAGAACCCCGTCGTCCCCTATGTGATAATGAACTAGAAGGAACGCATGAAAGGGGAGTAATGCGAAGCTTCAATATCCTATCATAAGCGTAGGGTTTTAATTAGTTTGTAGCAACGCCTTTCATAATTAGTTTTATGAAAAACTTTGCTAATCATGTCTAAAAACTAGACAGTTTAATATAGTAAGATGGAGAAACGAGTATGTAAATCGTATTGTGCAACAAAAGATATTGAAGAGTTTGAGGGTTTTAAGACTTGCAATAAGTGCCGTGAAGCGAAAAGAAAATGCTACGGCAAAAACAAAAACGAATATAATCAAGCACGAAGAGAAGAAAGGGCAAAAGGGAGTAAGTTATGTGAAGAATGCGGACATAAACTAAAACACGAAAACTGGGATGCCCATTTCCATGATGCGTTACATCCGAACTCAGAACTAAATGCGTTAATGAAAGATTATTTGAGGAAACTAGGAAATTTGAGGAAGGAAGGCAAACTAAACGATGAAATACAAGCAGACATTAAGGCAGAATACGAGAAACAAAAAAAGATGATAGGGAAACGTTTAAACGAACAATTTCATGATAAATTTGTTGATGAAGAGCCACAGCCCGAGCCCGAGCAACCTAAACCTGATATAGATAAAGTGTTTAATCATGTCCATGAGTTACTGATAAATTATGAGTTTCTAGAAGATTATTTTATTTTATTTTGGTAAGCGTAAAGATAGGATGATTATTGAAATCCCTGTCGATAGAACATAAGAAAAGAATTTCTAAAGAAAAGCATGTAAAGAAATAACAATTATAATATATATATTAAGAGGAAAATGGATCATACAGATTTAAACACGTATAAAATACAAGTGAAGTATATCAAGAAAATACATGAAATTAAAATTAATGAAATAGATTATCAAAATGAAATTAAGGAGTTAAAAAACTAGTTAATGTTTATGAAAACAATATTTTTGATAACGAAGACCTTTTTAATGTCAGATATGATATAGCAATGTTAGAAACTATAATCCAAGAAGATGAAAAATATTAAAACAATATTCAGACTTAATTGAACATATTGAAATACTGTGTAATAGCTATGGAAACAAAGATACAAAATATTTAGATGTAAAACCAAAGAATGCTGTTAAGTGGATAAATAAGAGTATTCAGGAGATTGAAGAAGAATACGGCGAACTAGTCAAACCTTAATAATAACCCAATAATAATATTATTTTGTTGAAATAATATTATTCTTGTTTCTTATTTATTACCTCATTACCTAAACCTTATTACTAATATAGATAATTTATTAGAGATGACCGTTTCCATTTTCTAAGGTTAGGGATTTCGGGTTGGGGAATATGGGTTTTTCTATGGGGGTAGTGGTGTAGGGGGCTTATGGTGGAGTTTTTCTAGGGGAATATGGGTTTTACTCCTTCATGTGGGTGGGTTTGAGGTATAGGTTGTTATGATTTGGGTGAAAAGGGGGGGGGTGTATGCTTAGAAAATGGAAATGGTCATCACTAACTGAATCACCCGCAAAACCCCATGCCTTCTGACAATCCTGAAAGAGTAAACCTCCGAAAGCTCCAACGCAACGAAAAGCCTTGGAACCGACCATTTAGGGTTTAGGGTTTAGGGACTGCGAACTGCGAACCTCCCTTAATAGCCATTCGTGTACCCTAACCCTACCAAGTTGACAGCTTTGAATAAACGCCATAAAACCCTAAATCCCTACTTCCAGCCCTTATAGTAGACCCTCAACCCTAAACCCCAAGCCGAGAATGAGGCGGGATATCCTCTTCCGTCCTAGTGGGTGCCTGCCAAGGCATGCCAAAAGGATCTTCCTGGGGGTAGTGTTTTGGGTTAGTCTTCATGGTTGTTATACTACGGATAAGCCGATAAGCTCCGGGGTTGTCAAACATATATGACATGTTTATTCTGGGTCTAATAAGGCGCCTATTGTTGTTGAAGGGATCGGGGCTTGTAGTAGGGGTTGGATTCCTGAAGGGTTCCGTGACTAATAAGAGTAAGGACTAAAGCTCTCCGGCTATAAAAGGGTTCCTAAAGGTAATAGGTTTCTACTTTCAGGCTTTTATGAGAGCCTGAGAAGTGATCTGGACTCCGATGGCCTTCATAATGCTGGGTGGGCTGCTGCAACTTGGTGTCAAGAGCTTTCCCCTCCCTGTGGCCCCAAACTCTGCAGAAGAGGAGGTTACAACCCCTTTAGTCCTGAAGCAGTATGTCAGTAGCCTTTGTTTCGGGTCTTAGGACATGGCCACCAACTGCGAAACCCTACGCCCGAATATTCAGATCTTCAGCAGTCGGCGCATAGGCTTCTGGTCGTAGGGCTAAGCCCCAAGACCCTTTCCCCACCGAAAGAGGTTGGAATTGGCTGTGCGGATGTTGCAGGCGAGCGCCAAAGCCAAGGTGACTCGCCTGAAGTAGCTGGGAGTTTAGGGATGCAGCTCGATAAAATATAGTGGCCAACACATGCCAATACTTTTCTTCCGTAGGCCGCCATTTTATCACTATCGTATTACATACCCCAAGACCCTGTTCTAATTATTAATGGCCCTGTTATTATAGGTGAGGTCTCGGGAGAGCCACAGCCATCTCATCATCACCGCCACCACCACCGCCTCTGCGCCGAGACATCAACAACGATGTCCACAATGGAAGAAATAGAGCAAGCAGGACAATAGTGGAAGATGCAAAACGTGCAGTAGTACTGCCGGCACAACATTAGCCATACCAACACATACATTGGAAATATTTGCGGCCTAGGCCCACGCTTACATACAGCTTCCGCCCAACCCCCTAAACCTTCGCCGCAACTCTAGGCGCCTAAACGCCCGAAGTCCTCTTCGCAAAGCCTTGCGATTCTTCAATAGTATCAGTTTTATTCCACGGCTTTGTGTCTTCCACTCACTTCCTAAGCCCTGAAACCTAAACTCGGCGCCCAAAAATCCGAAAACTTACAGCCCTACAGCCTTGTAGGGCTTAGGGCCTAGAGGGTTGATTTTGTGTTTGTAGGGTTTTTCGCGGTTTTTGGGTTTTAGGCAAGGGTTTTGGATCACGGGTTTGATTTTGGAGTTGGCGACGTTCTCTTTCAGGATTCGGGCTGCGCGGACATCGTTTCATGCGGGCCTCAATGATAAGAATAGGCTTTTGATGTAACCTGTACTCGAGCTCTATCAGTTACAAACAAGAACCCTAAGACTCTAAGACACAGTTATTGCTAATCAGTCGGGCTTCTGTACTCGTCGCGATTGGATGGGCCTATGTACATCCACCAGCTCCTTCCTTGGTTGCATTGATTCCTGATCAACGGATCCTGACCATCATACTGGCAAAGGAAGTACAGAAAAGTGTTCGTAAATCCTGCGTGGACCCCACTCCCTAATCAGCAGCTAGTGTACAAGACCCTCCCTCCAAAATACAAAGCCTTGCACCCTGAGGCTATGTTTAGAAGATTCCCCATCAGAAACGTAGAGACGAAAGCAAGGATCGGAGGGCCCGGGACAGGGCGAGCCGACTGTTGAGGCTCTCGGGGGAGAGACAGAGCGAGACAGAGCGAGAGACAGATCGGTCGATAGATCGCTAGATAGATAGGTGCATAAATCGAAAGATAGATAGAACGATGGACAGACAGAGAGAGATAGCTGGATAGATAAATAGATGTCAGGTAGATACATAAGCAGATGCTAATAATGCAAGATAAATACATACTTACACGCATACCTGGGTCACCTGCATAGGTACATACATACAAGCTTCAATGCATGCATACACACAAACACATACACACAGCCATATACACACATACATACACGCATACATACATACATACATACATACATACATGCATGCATGCATGCATGCATGCATGCATGCATGCATCCATACATACATGCGTGCATACATGCATACATACACGAGTATAGACACTCGCACAACCACGCAAACAAACACTCAATCAATCAAACAAAAAACTCAGAAACAAACAAACAAGCAAACAAGCCAGCAGGCAAAATACATGTTGGTCTTGGGCAATTGCATGACTATGTCACAATGGGAATTAACATGCATGTCGAGAACAACTAATCAGGTGGAGGATTGATGTGAAGTCAAACTTCCACTTCTTTGCCGAACGTTGTATAAAGATTTGTTGAAGATGAGGGCGGGGATCCGGCTCGCACAAATGCTTGACACGATCAGCAACACCTCTTTGTGGCATTGGTCAGACACTCTCCTGGTAGCAGCTGCACTTGCAAATGTTCACTGAACCATGTGATGGCAGCCTGAAATGTTCTCAAGTCTTCTGGGAAAGTGTAGGCCTCGAAAGGCACATCGTGATCACAATCCGGTTCGACTCTCAGTACCATTTGCACGTTTCTCGGTACCCTTGCAGAGTAGTCGTACTCCGCCTCACTCTCGGTTGGAGAACCGCGGAAAACGAGCATCGACAGAAAATCGGTACCGTTCCAGGTTGGCGATGTCGGAATGGAAGCAGGGGGGGAGCTTCATATAGACACCTTGGTTACCCCCCCCAGGAGGTTCTTACGCCACTCTGACTCCTGAACCCCTAGCACCCGTAAGCTGCACAAGACAAAACAAGCCAAATGTTTCGGAAGAGGGATCGGATGTAAGTAAGATCCTTACTAAGTTGCCCCTTGGAGACGGGACCCCCCCCCCCCCTCCGACTGATGGAAACTCCTAGCTCCTCAACCCTCAACCCCTAAGCCTCTAAACCCCAAGCAGCCTAAACCCTAAACCCTAAAGCCCTTAACCCTAAACCCTAAGCCCGAACCGCTCACGCCAAACCCATGACCTCTCCTCTTCAGGCGTTTTGCCTTCGACTGCCCGGCAGTCGCTGAGGACTTGTTCCTTGGCAAACGCAGAGTGCAAGGTTTAATATAGGGGCCTTAATAATTAGAATAGGTTTTTTGGGGCCCGCGATACTATAGTTATATTAAGGAACGCCGTATAGGTAATTCTTAAGGCCCCTACATTATGGGCCCAACGCCATCAACGACTTACCTCTTAGTCTTGAAGTTAAGGATGAGGAGCAGAGGCTCAATAATGAGGGTTGAGGATGTATGGCGCTGGGTTCAAGTTTAGGGTTTAGGGGTTTCTGGTTTAGGGTTTTGGGGCGGAGTTGCGTAGGTCTCCGGCTAAGGGTCAACACAACCATGTATATTTCTAGATTACGTAGCAAAAGGGGATTACAATGGAGATCGTAAGTACAGTAACGATCCTCCCTGAGGTTTGGTTTTAGGGTTTATAGGGTTTAGGGTTTGCGTTGAGAGGTTTGGACATGAGCTTCCCTGAAAAATCCTTCAAAGGCCGCCTTACGTGTTCCTAGCAGGGTTTAGGAGGACTCCACTTATGAGCTCCTGCAGCATAATGTAGGGGCCTTAATAACTAGAGTAGGGTTTTGGCGGCTCCTTATTGTAATTATAGTATTATGGACCCCCAAAGCCTATTCTAATTATTCAGGCCCCTATATTAAGGCTATGGCCGCCCCGAAACCGTAGTTCCAAGGCCCAGTGCTGCTTTGGGGGCCTCAACTGTAAGACTATGGGATTTCAGGTGTGGGGTACATTATGCTACGTCTATGCTTTGGATAAGAAGCCCGAATAAGGTTGACATGGGTGATTTTACCCAAAAGCTCCTAAGTACCTGTATCAAATGGTAGTAGAAGGTAGGGTTTCTATGGCATTCTGGCAGGAATTACAACTATAGTTCAGGTATGTACTCCACCAGAAAAGGTACCGTCATATGAAGCCTACTGCGTGAGGTCTGGCATGGGCTCCGCCTGGCTGGCTTCGCCCAACGCCGCCAGCGGAGAAGCAGGACCTGCCTGACTCGGCTGTGGGAGTGCAGGATGTCGGTGTAGGGGTGTAGGCTTTGGGGCTTTAGGGTTTAGGGCTTTGGGAGTTTAGGGGTTTAGGATGTAGGGTTTTGGGCTTGGGGTTAAGGGTGTAGGTGTAGGGCTTAGTTTTAAGGATGGTGTCTTGGTCATCACTACCCTTGTTGTGTTGATTGGCTGTTATTCAATGCGGCCAGCTGCTACCAGCAGTCGTGTGATGAGAGCGCGGTGTTCTTCCCCAAGGGCCGGGCAGGCCTTTAAAGAGGCTGATCCCTCTAGAGACTCAGGCATGAGGGTCGTTTTGCACTTGGCCGTTCGTGCGTTTCATGACTACTGAGAGACTCACCGTCACTTCAGAACCCTTAAGTACTACAAGCAACCTCTCAAAATCATGGGAAGATGAGCAGGCAGGTTCACAACACGATGGAGCCACATAATGCGGAACGGCCCCACCACATGCCCTGTCCATCCACTCGATAAGATCATGTCCATGACCCAAAGCCTAAACTCCAATCCCTAAGCCCTAGACCCTGAGTCTGTTTCCTCTCTGTGAGGCTTGGCCGGGGATCTGTTCGCCGTGTCGGCGATACGTCGCCTCGCCACATCAACCAGAAGTCTCGGGGAACGGTAGAGGAATTTATATTGACTTCAAAGCAAGGCGGTATTCCATTTCATGATCTAGCTCGAGTGGTAGTTACTGGTGGGTGTATAGTTTGTGTATGTTTGGGTTAGATTTCAGGCATGCTAGTACTTCAACGAAAAGCCTACGTACTATACTCAAATACTAAATCTTGCAGCCGCCTGCGCCGTAAACTTAACCCGAAAACCGAATCAACGCCCCATTTCGCATACTCGCCCCGTTCGAAACAAGGCTTGGGAACCCGAGCTGCGAACTATGCAGCTGCTCGGCTTAGGAAATTCGGGCTTCCCCAGAGGCTCCAAATGGACTTCCATTGTGGAACTAGGTCCCGCAAGACCAGCCTTATTATGGTTTTTGAGGGCTTAATTCCATGATAGTAGTATATATGGAGCCTCTGGTTACAGGCTTTAAGATTCAGGGTGTAGGTTTTTAAGACATAGGGTTTAGGGGCTTAAGATTTAAGATTTAGGGGTTGAGGGTTCAGCGTTTACGGGTTCAAGATTTAGGGGGTAGGGGTTTAAGATTTGGGGTTTCGGGGCTTAAGGTTCAAGATCTATAGGGGTGTAGGGTTCAGGGCTTGCGGGTTTGAGATGTGATTGGGGTGTAGAGGTTTGGGATTTAGGGTGTAGGGGTTTAAGATTTAGGTTGAAGGAATTTAAGATTGAGGGTGTAGGGATTTAAGATTTAGGGTGCAGGGGTTTAAGATTCAGGATTTACGGGTCTGGATGTAGGTGTAGCCGTTTACGATTTAGGGTCAGGGGTTTCTGGTTTAGGCTTTAGGCTCAACGTGCACAGAAACCTTGGGATGCTATGGGTGGGGCTGTTGTTCGGCCAATTCAACCTCGGCTGCCTCCCTGAATTTCGAGTACTCATCCTCAAGACATAGACTTCTAATCTGCTATGGCTCATGTCCTGCATCCCGTCCGTCTTGTCATGGTCTGTCAATATCAAGAGCAAGGTGCAACAAGATTGACGTGGTACCTGTGGCATTCAGGCTGAGGTTTAGGGTCCAGTTTTTGCCTCCATGGTAGTTCCGCCTGTTTGATGGGCAGGCGTGGCTTCAAGATTGGGCTGGCTTGTGCACTCGTGCCGAGTTCAGGCTTGGAGGTTTTTCCATGAGATGTGCATTTCATTTGGCATAGGATAAGTCCTAGATCCTTTCACCCCACCAGAACCATGTCAAGAGCAATACTTCACCACCCAAGTTCACAAGAACCTCCAAATCCTTGTGTTAAACGTCGAGATGATGACCAGTATCATGACCGGCTTCGTGAAGCTCCAAACCTCCTATTGTTATTCTTGCTGCTTCTCCTAGAATGCTGTCGCGCTCCTTGTGGCTCTTCGAACAAAAGCCACAGTCCCTTCCCTGCTTCCCCTAAACCCGAAACCCTAAACCCCTAAACCCTAAAACTTCAAGCCCTAAACCCTAAACCCCTAAAGCCCTAAACCCCTAAAGCCCTAAACCCTAAACCCTAAACCCCATTATCAACCCTCAAGCCCTAAACCCTAAACCCTACTATACACCCTAAAACCCGAAAACCCTAAAGCCCCAAACCCTAAAGCCCCAAACCCTAAACCCTAAACCCTAAACCCTTCTTCTATGATCACAGACGTCGGATCGAGGTTTGGTCCGCCTCGAACGCTTCGGCGCGCGAAGCCATGAGCCGGAGTCAGCACAGCGAGGCCAGCCTCCCTCACGGTTTAGGCTTTTTAGGTCTTTAGGGTTCATCATAGGGTTTAGGGTTTAGGGTTTAGGGTTCAGGGTTTTAGGATTCAGGGTTTAGAGCTTTAGGGTTTTAGGGTTCATCATAGGGTTTAGGGTTTAGGGCTTCAGGGGTTTAGGGTTTTAGGATTCAGGGTTCAGGCTTTTTAGGGCTTTAGGGTTCATCATAGGGTTTAGGGCTTCAGGGGCTTAGGGGTTTAGGGGCTAGGGTTTAGGGTTATAGGGTTCATCATAGGGTTTAGAGTTCATGATAGGGTTTAGGCTTTTGGGGTTTTAGGGTTCATAATAGGGTTTAGGGTTTAGGACTTAGGACTTTGGGGTTTTAGGGTTTAGGGTTGTAGGTTTTATAAGTTAAAGCCCATGAATCCCTAAACCGAAATACTCAAAGTCCCATGTCGTCTTAAGTTTATCTCTCTTGCCTGGTGTTTATTTTATTGGCTTAGGGTTTGTTAGGGCCCAGGGTTGAGGGCTGACTACGCTGAGTGCACGGGTGAGTGGGGCTAAGGCCAAGGCCTTACCGGAACCGCAAGAACACTCGAAGAACCTGTCTGCTTGCGGCTCCCGTTTCGTGTCCTTAACCCTAAACCCGAAAGCCTAAACCCTAAACCCTAAACCGTTTTGTGGTGTGAAGGTAGGACCTCAATGCTTCGCAGCACGAGCAGCGCAGCCTCAAGGTCTCTTTGAGGGGAGGAAGTTGAACATAAAGCCCTTGTGAGAGATGCGCGAGCCAAAACCCTCCTAATGGCATCTGAGGCGTACCCATAGGCCCCATAGTAGTTCCCTTTTGGGATTACCTTGTAGGATTCTAAACATGAACCCCAAAAAGGAACTACTATGGGGCCTATGGGTACATACACATAAAAGCAATAAAGCCTCAAGAGACCTGGGCCCTGCTCTCATGAACCACTAACTGCAGGCTCCACGTCTTCATGAAGCGCCTCCAAACCCAAAAGGCTGCATCCCTCGGAGCTCGGTTTTTAGGTGGTATTGGGGAGACCCCTTCTATAAATGGGAACTCGGCTTTTAGGTGGTATTAGGGAGACCCCTTATAAAGGGGACCCTTCTTAACCGCACTTATATAACTGATGGCTCTCTTAAAAGGGACCTTNNATATCCCCAAGGGTCCCCCTGATCCCCATCGAAAGGCAGATCTTAGGGTCGACAGAGAGACCTAAGCTGGGGGAGTTTGGGCTTTCGGGCTTGTGGCTTTCGGAGGTCTCGGGGCATGGGCTGTGGCTATTTAGGTCTTCGAAGTAGGGTTTAGGGTTTAGG